GTTATATAACAATTAAAACAATGCATTGTTTGGAGAAGTGCTCCAAATTACCAGTCTCTTTCTCCTGACTGTTTATTCAACAGTAATTGCATGAGATGGTCCAGCTTGTACTGGCCATGAAAAATCCATTGTATCAAAGAATATAGAAGACATGTACAGACAGTCTATGCTTGGCATATCAAAATGTACTAGTATATCCTGTCTACTTTTTCAAAAAAATCTGTCAATGCATTTATTTTTTTTTTCATAAGGTACGAATCAAAATAGCCTATATGCTTTATTATCAGATATTTTAGGCAGGGGTTAAAGTGCCCCAAAAGTTAAATTGCTTCATGACATCAATAGTTACACAAACAGTGGATATTGTACATGTGTTATATATCTGACAATTTAAAAGTTTGAACTTTCTGTGAATGTAAGTTATGACAGTTAAATATAAACAAAAACTTGAAATCAAATTTGAATTATCATTTATCATGTTTAGTTTTGAAGGGGGTGGATACATGCTTACGAATAAAAATTTGCAGTTTTGTATAAATTACTATTTTTAAAAACCTCCAAAAGTAATGGTAATGGTAATGCATTATTTTACTAAAGTAATGGTAATGTAATGCATTACTTTGAGAAAATAGAGTAATGGTAATGGTAATGTAATGCCTAAATTGTTGAAGTAATGGTAATACAATGCATTACTTTACAATGTAATTCGCCCCAAGCCTAGAGTGAGTTATTGGTGTGTGAATCACACAGACTTGTCACGTAGGCATATTTCATGAAGCGCGCTGGCGCATCATGAAAAATATGCCTACGTGCAAGTGTGTGTGATTCACACACTAATAAATCAGACACTAATAATTCACACTAAACTTAAAAACATTCCTTATATTTACATTTTACATATTTGGAAGCACCAAAAATATACTCAATAGTTGAATTTTTCACTGCCCTATATCGTTATACTATTACTAATGTCGCTGTAGCCTTATTGTGACGTCACGTTAAAGTATACACGAAAATGGTATTCAAATCAATTTCACAGTTGGCTTAGTAGAAAAACACAGCGAATTTAAATATTTTATAATAAATTGAGTGATTCTTGTTGAAAAATTTATTACCATGGAGGATTTAAAGTCTTTTCTGTAATTACTGGAACAAAGCAGGTCATATTCACCACACATTTAATAACAGATCCATCCGGGTATGAGGGATTGATGATGTGATCTTTTATCTAAATAGATTTATTCAATTTATTGCACCAAAGCAAACAAGCAAATGAAAATTTCAATTAATTAGGTAGAAATAATGCAAGGGATAAAACTGTGAATTGTTATGTAAAGGTTGTACATACTGTATGTGGAGTTGTTACTGTCGGTGAGGCTGAAATAAAAACGGAACGTTCACACACATGACTTTTAGCAATTTTCATAGAAATCTCACGATTAAATACTAGTAGATTATTTCCAAAACATACCAGATGTGGTATGAATCTTTAAACATATTTCATCCATGGTGACTCTGTAAAGAAATTATTTACAATCAAAATTAAGTCGAGATTTCAAACATAAATATATGGAACTTATATAGAATTAATATTATGAACAGTAGTTTTAATCAAGAAAATTGTAGGATAAAAGTAATATTACCCAACAGAATTTCGGGTCTGTACACACATCATTTCACTGCCAACCTGGGTTGGTTTGACACAAAAATGAGCAAGCTTTGTATCTGTACCACTCAGCGTTAATGGACAATTTTGTAAGGACGCATTCTTAGATCCAATTGCTAAAGATTTGCTATATTAAAAAAAACAGATATATATATCATAAAAGCAGAATCAAAATATGAATAACTTTATTTAGATATATCTCATTTAATGATCTTATTTATAAGTGACATGAATGTAATACATTGATAAATTCTGCCCGGAAATAGGTAATGGGAATTCACAAGGCATATTCAAGACACAGTTGATATCAGTAGGTACACCGGTGTCCACAAATATAGTTGAATTCTGCAATAAATATTTGAAGCACTACAAAATATCTTATTTCATATTTTGGTGAAGCAACGGAAAACAATTATTTTCATGAATCTTGTGAAAAAATTACGCTGGAAGAATTAAACAAGATACGTTTGATTAAAATGTGTATGCAAGTATGCTAAATTTTTAAACTGAAGGCCAACAAAGATTGAGATTAATGTGCATCTTCAGAAAAATAATATTCATTTTATTATTTTTCACAAAACGATAAATCATATCAAATATCATTATTAAACAAAAACTAAATTACCCTATTTTCATAATATTCTTAGTGAAACAAATACCTTTTAACACTTAAATAAAAAAGAAGTTTGAAAACTCACTGTTGTTATATTTGCAGAAGGGTTTCTTGGTATTGGGATACATGAAACTAAAATAAAGAAAAAAAATTAAAAAATGACATTATTTAAATGACAATTCTATAATTTATAATAATTTGAAACCTAAAGAAAAATACCCCACCATTATTCTGACAGTGTCTTCCACTGACTCCCACTGGACAAATACACGTGAAGGACTGGTCGTTAGACAAACAGTATCCTTTATTACAAGATACATGTTGACAATGGGAAGCTGAAAAGAGAAAAATATGCTTATCTTCTTATGAACAAATTTCTAAAAAAAATAATCTGAATATCATAAACAAAAATAAAAATCCCTTACTTGTGGAATTAAGCGATGGATTAACAATGATGCATCTTTTCTCGTTGGAACTATAATAAAATATAAAAAGAAGGGTTACATTCTTTCAATCGCAATTAAATTTTCAATATTTTTGCAAAACAAAGATATTTTAGTTCAATGCAAAATGTGTTTTGTGTTATTAGATTTTTTTACTGGACAAGCATTATAAAACATAATGTCTTTTAGAATACAAGTAATACCTTTGGGCCCCAATGCAAATCTTCTTAGTTTCTGTGTGCTGCACTCGTGTGACGACGTCAGTGACACAAAGGTTGGGATCAAAGCTAGTCACTTTTGTACTTACAATGACTGTTCCTGATGTGTGTGGTAGCTCCTTTGGCTCTTCACTAAAGAATCACAAGAATGAAATCGAAATATATACATGAAGTTGATATTTGTTAATAATTTGCAATGTCGTTCCTTACCATTTACCACTGTGATCTTTTGAAGTATGTATCAGCAAATGACAGTCTGTGTTTTCTAAACATCGAACAGAAGAAGAATCGGGAAGTGTTGGTTCTTGTAGGCCCTGAAATAATATTAAACAGGTTATATTTTTTTCGCTGTAACCGATGTTATATTTTTAAATCTTTATTCCTTTACTAATAAATACTCATGTAATTCTTTTATACGTACACCAGAGGGTGGCTTGGTAGGCAATGCAGATGTAAAATTGACTTTAAAGCAAATTTCATCACCTTTCAAACTACAATTCAATAAAACATTATAAATTTATGATCTCTACCACTAAGTCTCTTTTTAATAGGTAATTAGCATCATAAAATGTAATATAAGAAGTTTCAATCAAAACAATCACTGCTCGGCAGATTATTACCGGCCGCCAGGAGGCGGTCGGTGTTTTAAGTCGTAGTCTCGTTCAACCAGACGCTCGGCTGTCTCTGGGTGGTCGGAGATTTACGGAGACAGCCGAGGGTCTGGTTGAACGAGACTATTTAAGTCGCTGTGCGTTTCTGCGGAGCTAACAATTTGAATAAAAATATTCAACATCATATCGCCGGCGTTTTAATATTAAACAATTATTTCTAAATGTTTAGGAAAAAGCACAATAATCGTAAAATTCAATTTATAAATAATGGGGTAAATATTTCATCCAATCCTGATTGACAAACCCTGATATAACTGAAGTGCGGAGAAAATAAGTAGGAATGTTAGGCATAGTCTAAAACAAAGACCGCGTTGTAAATCAACAATTTTACTTTCTCTTTTTAAAACAGGATCTGCTGTGTTAATTTGAAATGAAGTGTATACATTTCCTATGGATGTTTTTCAAAAATATGATGAAATATTGATTTCTTAAAAGCAAAGAATATTAAGACATGTTGGTCCAGGAGACTAGGATAGAGCGCGTTTTACAATGTGCCAAACATTTTCCCGCCACATCTCAACACCAAAACAAAGAGATTGTAAGAGAAGAAATGTAGTGGTGGATCTTGAAGGAGTTGGGGGGGGGGGGGTTAACATCCTATAAGAGAGAGCGAGGAGCCCCACATGTTATATATTTGTTGCGTTTTTATTAAGGTTAAACTATAGCTAAGTTTAAACTTTAGTTTTGTACTTTTAATGTAAAAACTACTTAAACAGCAAGTTGTACCAAACTGAGTGCAGAGACGCAGAGGACTATGCATAGTTTATATATATTGCCTATACATGTAATATTGTACATGCATTATTCAATTGGCATTGTCGCATGCATTTTTTTTTTCATGTCACGAGGATATTTTAACAGATAAATATAAGAATTTTTTTTTTAAAACAGCAGATTTCAGTTTCTGAAGAATTTTTTTTAAAAAAAAACAGCAAATTTCAGTTTTTTTAATGAACTTCAACAGTTATATAAATTGGTTTGCGGCCGATTTTTGACGCTTGCGTCAATATGTTTCTTGTATTACCTTTTATGAACAGTATTAATACATATTTTACGTTGACCCTCCTTTGTTGCCTTTAGTTTGATGTTTGTTTGATAGGTAGAATTTGAATCTCCTGGGAACGTGTCTGTTTTTACAGGATGGATAACAAAAGGACTGTCTGTATCAACGGTGGGGCTATGAAAAAAAGATAATCAACTTCAAAGATACTCAGAATCCAGATTTTTAAAAAAAAAATATGCCTTTTGAAACATTTTCCTATTTTCTTTGAGGAATGACTATATCATAAAAGGATATCTTACATGTCTCCAGGTGGACCGGTAACGATTAGAGGCACTCCACAAGGTGTGCCGATTGAACACTGTATTACCTCCGGAATGGCGGTGTCCGTAAATACTGGTGCAGTGTTGTTTTGCTATAAGATTAAAACGATTATAATATGATCATGTTCTAAATCATTATCCATGCTAAAATATTATGAGTGGTACCTGCATTTGGTGTTCGGAATTCATAAAAAAAACTTATTATTTACCTTGCCCGTGTTCCCTTGGTTTACTGGGGGAGAAAATCGGCCTGAAAAAAATATACCGTTAAAAATAAATTAAATGGCATATGTGTCAGATAAGAAATAAAATGGTAGTAATTTGGTATAAAACAAACTTTTCTGGCAGGTGCTTCCTGTAAATCCAACAGGGCATATGCATGATGACTTTGAAACAGAGGTTGCGTCACATCGTCCGCCATTGTAGCAATGTTGATCTTGACAAGGTCCACCTTTCAAATATAAACAAGGAAATATACGTTTTACAAGTATCTTTCTTGTGATTACAAGTACAGGGAGAACAAATTAGTACATTGCCATGCTAATATTTTCATAGGCATCAAGAATTGAAAAACTTCGAAAACTACCGAGCATACCAAATGATTTACTGCCATTGGTTACCGCCTGGATAATATAACATCTCTCATGCCCTACTTTCCTAAATTGGAAAAAGACAGAAAGATAACATTATACGAGTGTCAATTATTGTTGTTTTATATATAAAATATGTACGTATCATGCATGAAAAATAAAATGTGTGACACCTACTCTTCTTGTCTTGCCTTTATACACAGCGAGTGATTACCCGGTGTGCTGGGTTTAACGGACAAATCTGTGTAACACACTGAATGGGATGTTGTGACCGTCTCCGATGTGAAATCATGAATGTTTACTAACGAAGAAGTTGGCGTGTTTTCCACTCTTGGACTGCAATATAAAAATATTTTTATACATAAAGATTACCTTTTCCTCTAAAAATTGTGAACCCTTATATACTCCATTTCAATCACTGGTGTATATAATTAAAGAAAACACCATTTTATTTTTCGTTTAAATTATTCCTACCAAGATTGTGATCCTGGTGTTGGCTTCGTTACGAGCTGTATATGACAACTGTCCAGTGCACTTTCACATTGTAATACTGTTCCATCTGGCAAAGAGGGGGAGACTATTTCTGGTGTTATCTGTTCAAAATCAATGTACTTTGTTAAGGGCATCCTTTCAAGCAATCTATTAAAATGCTTCTTGGGACTCAGTACAGAAAAAATCAGAGAGAATGATATTCAATCTGATAACCTCTTGCTACATTTGAAACCAATCTTTGACAAATGCTAATGATATACATATGTAAGCGATAGATGGATGAGTAAACCTTAGCTGAGATGTTTATTGAACAAATGTTCTTGTTTAAGATTGATTGTATTTTATTCATGGTAGTGAAAAAATCGAGGGGTCCATAGTATTTGGACTAAATGCAGGGTTCCTTTATGATACAATACAAAGATAATTAATTTTTTTCTCTAAACTTTTGTATGTCACTTACGAGTGGCGTTGTTGTGGACACGGTATTATCTGAAACACATTTTGTTCCGTTACAAAAAAAATCTTCCATACATTGAATTGTGAAATATTAATACCAGCATTATACTTCTAAAAATGAATTACTCAGTATGTCATTTGCAATTTTTTTTACCTGGTATGATCTTTACGTTGACGCAGATTTCATCAGTGTTCCTGCAAAAGTTGACAAACACTGAGAATAACAAGAGGCCCACGGGCCTTATAGGTCACCTGAGTATCATGTAACAACTTTCCAGCGATTGTATTTGGTTCGTGTTTTAATCCAAAAGCCATGAAATTCACAAATTTTGAAAGAGGCACCATTGCTTATCAAAGGGCAGATTTCAAAGCATTAATTTATTTTTAGTCAAAGTACCCTCCTGGTACCCCTGACCCAGCGGCCCTGAAATGATCTATTTTGAAAGAGGCCCCTTTCTTCATTATAAGGCCAGCATTTTTTTATGTTTAGGTTTAGTTATGAAAATGAGAATAAAAAAGTCCCGAAGGAGAAGGAAATAAAATTTTTTTTTTGATAAGTCAATTATTAACATTTGTACATTCTTTTTTTATCATATGCTATTCTAATAGGCTCCTTACCACTGGACACATAATGCTTACAAATAGGAAAGTAGAACATGTAATTGCTTATTTCATCATCCGCCAGTTTGGGCCAGTTATATAAATTTTGTGATGTTGGTCAAAATATATTTTAAAAAATCAATCCTTTAAAAGTCTTTCAATATATCTTCATTTTTTAAATATGTGTTAGGTGAATGTGTAGACATAGTTCTAAAATTTACTTGATGCCTAAAATTATAATTCCTATCATAAAACAGTCAGGGAGTATTGGGGAGTAGGGTGAATATTTTTTCAATTAAGTGTAAAATAATTTTTTCTGGCTGATACAAATGATACTACATGCCAGTATATATTTGTATATTCTTGCCTTTTAATAGTTGAATTTTTTTTTATTTCTTCAGGTTATTGTTTATTTCTTCCTCAAATGGACTTAACTTCTCCCATAGTTTTATTCATTACATCTGATGCATAAGTAAACCTTTTCTGAAGAATGATGCTTAGACTGTAAGCTATAACATAGACCTAAACAATGTCGCTGGCAATATGCAATAACTACCACGGGCAGTTTAAAACCTGGGGAAGGAAAACAATTTACAGATACTTTTGAAACGAATACATAATTATCTCACCAGCATGTCATTGTGCAACAAAGTCGTCAGCATTTTATTTGTCATTTGAACGGTGAAACGTTTTGAATGGCACTCGTATCGATGAATTTTACACTAAACCAAGATATCTTCTCAGATCTAGCTTTATTTTCAGGTATCACACCGGTAAATGACCAATCAAAATGAACTTAGTCAAATGTAGGTCCATATAAATAAAATTAATTTTCTTTTCTTTTGAGGCATTTTTCTATTTTCTTCCAAGCCATTTTTACAACTTTGGTACCAGTGTACCTTGTAAATTTTATGTATTTTGTGAATAAATAAAGGTTTTTGACAGGAACTATTTTTTTCAGGGCATAGGAGGCTACTTCCTGTGATGCACTCGAGGTGTTTATAAACAAAGTGAAAACACGTGGATTTGAGGGTAGCCCTGCTTACAGATGGAAAATGTCCGAAAATGCCGTGTGGGTACCCTGTTTTTTGGTGTCAGCTAATGTGACAGATAATGTTTAACACCTCCTGCTAAATATTTTTTCATGTAAACAAATACCTGATTTTTAACGATTTTTTATGCTATATAGAATTAACTGTATAGTGAAAACAATTACCGGTGTGATACCTTCATCTTAAAACCGGAAGTGCATGTTCGTAAATCTGAAATCTCGATCCCGACTAAAATTTGACATCGGAAAGAAAAAAATTGTTTTATTTTTTCCTGAAAATTGAAAACCTTGAGCGGAGGGTTTGTAAAACTGAAAATAAAATAATTCCTGGCCTTAAATATGTAATTAGATCATTAGCATATTAACCAGGAGCAAAGGATAAGATGTTCAAAGAATTCATGCATTTCACTATATAATCATTAGAGCCCCACCCTAAAACAAGAACCCCTGACCCTGGGACCATAAAATTCACAATTTTGGTATAGGCACTCTTGCTCATCATAACTATGTACTTAGTTGGTTTATGTTGGTTTATTTAATACCCAGGAGCAGAGAAGAAGATTTTCAAAGAAATAATGCATTTTCACTACCTACTTATTTAGACCCGCCCTAGCACTAGAACCCCTGACCCCAGGGCCATGAATTTCCATGAGAGGACTCAATGCTGATTACAATCATACCAACAGTTTGACTGCTTGATGTCCAGGAGTAAAGAAGAAGATTTTTAAAGATTGCACTAATTTTAGTGGTTTTGGCCCCACCCCTCAGGCCCCAGGGGGGCAGGGATCATGAAATTCACAATTTTTGTTCCCCTTTACCCATAGATGCTATATGTCAAATTTGGTTGAAATTGGTTCAGTGGTTTCAGAGAAGAAGCTGAAAATGTTCAAATGTTAACGCACGACGCACGACACACGACGCACGACGACGGACGAAAACAGATAGCAATAGGTCACCTGAGTTTACTCAGGTGACCTAAAAATAAATAAATAAATAAAAAAATATATAAAAACTCTAATAAAATTGTTAGTAGGAAAATACTTACGTCAAAGAATTTTTTGTTTGAACGCAGACTCGTTTTGTTCCGGTTTGTGATGGTATGACATGGAATTGCGCTATGGATTGATTGACTCGTTTTGTGATATCTATAAGATTAATTTGTTTTGGCTCGACTCCTTTATCCAAATGTCCAAAAAGTAAGGAACTCCTGTTTTATAAAAAGGATTCTTTATTCTCACTTTCTACAACAAAAGGCATTGACGAAGAATATACAAAAAATTATAATTGTTATGCCTTACTTATTCACTGGACTTCCATGCACGGGTATCATTATAGGGCAATCTTTGTTCAGCTGGCACGTTATTTCTTTTGGTAACATTGTGTTCACAAATATTGGTGAAGACTGTAAAAATATGTATTTGAAAATATATTTTTGACAATTGATTTCGAGTTAAAATTTAATTTCATTTAAGATATTCACTTACGTTTGAAAACTTGTTAGATGGCCGTGGTACTGGTATAGGTTGTGCTGAAATACAAAAAGTATTGATACTTTTTGTTTGACCTTGTTTGTCTTTTTTAATTTATATCCACGCTGTGTGTAAACTTCCTTTGTTATTTTAACCAACTTTTTAAAAGTTTATAGAAGTAAACTTACTTGTTTTTTCACAATGCATTCCTTTATATCCAAGTTTGCATATACACACGTAGGAAGTGGAAGTTGACTTGCAATAGCCATATGCTCCACAAGGTTTACTATTGCAATGTGATTCTAAAAAAGATCAATAAAGAGATTATTTATCATTTAAAGTTCAATGTTATTATTTTAGGAAATGTCCATCAGTTTATACATTTTTTTTCATAGTTGAGATTCTTACTTGTTAAATTTGTCACTGCATTCACAATTATGCATCTTTTATCTGCGGATCTGTAATAAACAAGAGGCCCATGGGCCTTATAGGTCACCTGAGCATTATGCAACAACTTTCCAGTTATTGAATTCGATTCATGTTTTAAGCAAGATGCTACGGCATTCACAATTTTGAAAGAGGCACCATTGATCAACAATTCAAAATAACAATACACTCAGCAGTTGCTTAGCTTGGATACTTAATACCCATAGGCAGGGTAGGGGAACAAAAAATGCATTTCAACTCATCAGTAATATTCAGCAATAATCAGTAGTGTCCATACCACACATAAACCCCTGACTTTTGGCCTAGGTCCACACATTGCATAATTTTTGAAAAGGTATCCTTGCTTTTCAAAATATTTGATGAATACCAAGGAGCAGATTTCAAACAATTCATTCATTTTCAGTATACAAGTACAGCCCCACCCTCTATGGTACCCCTGATCCTGAAGCCTTGAAATTCACAATTCTGCAAGATTAGGGCCCTTGCTCATCATAACTATATAGGTAGTTCATCTGCTTCATACCTAGAGACAGAGAAGATTAAATGCATTTTCACTATATAATCAATAGAGCCCCACCCTAACACCTGACCCCGGGGCCATAAAATTCACAATTTTGGTAGAGGCACTCTTGCTCATTATAACTATGCACTTAGTTTATTTAATATCCAGGAGCAGAGAAGAAGATTTTCAAAGAATTCATGTATTTTCACTATATAATCAATAGAGCCCCGCCCTAACACCAGAACCCCTGACCCTGGGGCCATAAAATTCATAATTTTGGTAGAAGCACTCTTGCTAGTCATAACTATGCACTTAGTTAGTTTATTTAATACCCAGGAGCAGAGAAGAAGACTTTCAAAGAATTCATGTATTTTCACTATATAATCAATAGAGCCCCGCCCTAACACCAGAACCCCTGAACCTGGGGGCATAAAATTCACAATTTTGGTAGAGGCACTCTTGCTCATCATAACTATGTACTTAGTTAGTTTATTTAATACCCAGGAGCAGAGAAGAAGATTTTCAAAGAAATAATGCATTTTCACTATATACTTATTTAGCCTCGCCCTAGCACTAGAACCCCTGACCCCAGGACCATGAATTTCACAATTTTGGTAGAGGAATCAATGCTGATTACAATCATGCAAACAGTTTGACTGCTTGATGTCCAGGGGTAAAGAAGAAGATTTTTAAAGATTGCATTAATTTTAGTGGTTTTGGCCCCACCCCTCAGGCCCCAGGGGGGCAGGGATCATGAAATTCATAAATTTTGTTCCCCTTTACCCATAGATGCTGTATGCCAAATTTGGTTGAAATTGGTTCAGTGGTTGCAGAGAAGAAGCTGAAAATGTTCAAATGTTAACGCACGACGGACGACGCACGACGACGGACGAAAACAGATAGCAATAGGTCACCTGAGTTTACTCAGGTGACCTAATAAAAATCGGTAAAAGAAAGATTTTGAAAAGCTAATGTTAGCATTTACGGTAAAAAACTGACTTATGATACCACTTTTTATCCGAAAAAAAAATTATTAAGGAAAATTGAACTTGAAAAGACTACGAAATCAAATGTAATTACATCTTGGAAAGACATGTGGAGAAATGTTGGATTGAAACATTAAACAAAACAAGCAAATAAATGTGTCAATTTTTATAATTTATAAAATATATGAACAACGTACCCATTTACTTCAAAGCAAAGTTTCTTTGTTTCGTTATGTTTAACAATCGTTGCAATATCTGCTACACACAAAGTGTGATCAAATGTTGTCAAGCTAGTTGTGAGAACTGCAGTTCCGGATGAGAATGGAGCTTGTCTTGGGAGTAAGCTTAAATAATATAGGTAGAAAATTGAACACATTGAACATTAGTAACAAGATTAGAATCGGCAGAAGTCTATTGTTAGAAAAAAATCATACTGTAGATGAAGCCTATGAAAACATTAAGCAAATAAATCGTCTAAATGATCAAATAAATAAACAAGTGTATGATTAAATTTAATAAAGGAAATATTATCTATTAGAAACATCATACTTATTTGTACTAGAAAATTTATGCACTTTATTTCAAAAGGTTAACAAGAGGCCTATGAGCCACATCGCTCACCTGAGCACATTGGCTAGGAAATAAAGCAGAAATCACCTCAGTATTGAGAAGTTTAAATGGGGGAGGGGTGTCTGGAATTCTAAACTACCAACTACTAGATGATTGATGATGCTTCCATAAAACAAATACCTTTGCTGCTATTGAGCAGATGATTTTTTTTCCTATTTATTCATTTGACCCCCCCTTTTGGCTCAGCCCTACCCATGGGAGGCATCATTTGAACCAGTTTGACTTTACACTACCTGAGGATGCCTCCATATCAATATGATTAAACATGGCATTTCTTTTCTTGGGAAAAAAATTTCCTTGATGTTATTGGCAAAACTTGATTCCCAATTGTGGCTCACCCTTCCCAACCCCTACTTCCCGTTCATGACTTGAACAAACTTGAATCAACACTACTTGAGGATGCTTACATAAAGATATGACCAATTATGGGTTTGTGGTTCTTAAAAAGAAGAGTTTAAAAAATTCTGATATATTCATTTCTATGGAAAATTTAAATCGTCCATTGTGGCCCCGCCCTACCCCCGGGGGTCATGATTTGAACAAATTTGAATCTACTGGTACACCACCTGAGGATGTTTTCACACAAGTTTCATCTTTCCGGCCCAGTGGTTCTTAAGAAGAAGATTTTCAAAGATTTTTCCTACATATTTCTTTGTAAATCTTTGATCGTCAGTTGTGGCCCGGCCCTAACCCCGAGGGTCATGATTTGAAAAAAAAATTGAATCTACACTACCTGAGGATGTTTCCATATAAGTTTCATTTTTACTGGCAAAGTGGTTCTGGAGAAGATTTTAAAAAAATCATATATATATATTCCTATGTTTAACTTTGATCAGCCATTGTGTTCGTGCCCTACACCCAGGGGTTATGATTTGAACAAACTTGAATCTACACTACCTGACGATGCTTCCAAACGCGCGTTTCATCTCTCCTTGCCCGGTGGTTCTGGAGAAGTAGATTTATAAAGATTTTTCCTATATATATTCCTATGTAAAACTTTGATCAGCCACTGTGGCCGGGTGGTTCTAGAGAAGAAGATTTTTAAAGATTTTCCCTTTATATTCCTATGTAAATCTGTGATTGCCCATTATAGCTCCCCGGCCTACTCCCGGGGGTCATGAATTGAACAAATTTGAATCCACACTACCTGAGGATGCTTCCAAATGAGTTTCATCTTTCCTGGCCCAGCGGTTCTGGAGAAAAAGATTTTTAGAATGTCATTAATTTTTCATTAATTTATAATTATCTCCCCTTGGAAATGTCTTGGCCCTTCATTTGATAAGTTCCTACTCCCTTTATCCATGGATACTAAGTGCAAGTTTGGTTAAATGCAGTGGTTCTTGAGAAGAAGAGTTTACGACGACAACGACAACGACGACAGACAACGGACAAATTTTGATCAGAAATGCTCACTTGAGCCTTCGGCTTAGGTGAGCTAAAAATACCAATTGCCATTGTTATCCATTGGAGCATGCAGTAGCACGTGACATGTTTTATTTTCTAAACATTGACAGACGACATATCTGGAATCGTAGGTTCTTGAAATTTCTGCAAAAGAAATGCACTAATATTTTTTAAACGGACAGGAATACGGAACACATAATAGTTTTACACTTATATCTCTACATACCACATGGCTTCCTGTCGATACTGTTGTAACTGGTGATGTAAAATTGACTTTAAAGCAAATCTCATCCCCTTTCCTCTGTAATTCAATAGTCATTCATTTTTAGAAAAAGAAATAAACAAGAAAAAAAACAGAAAAAATCCATTAACTTGAAAGGGATATAACGAGGGATGCCGCCTTTGCAATGGATATGAAAACAAATATACGAAATTAAACCCAGCGTCCTCAACATATAATCAAACTTTTTTGTTTTTTTAATGAATAAGTTAAAAGTTGCCGTTACATAATATTTATCTCAATGAATTCAAAGTATTCATTTTCCCTTATCAAGTGTTAAAAAAAAATCAAAATTGTTTATGCTCAAGTTATTAGCATTTCATACCAGAAATCTTTTCAAATCACACAAAACCCGGGTAAAATCGATGTTAACATTTACCTTTGTCTACGATGTGAGTACAAACAGTATAATTCCTTTTTTTAAAACTGCTCATTTTTATATTTGTTTGAAATGTATCTTTGGGTTTTTTCCTGGATAAGTAACAGTCGTATGGGATGGGTACCAAAGGACTGCCCGTATAATTGGGGACTACAATACATTAAATGAACTATGAAAGCAATCTTTTATAAATTTTATTATTCCTTTAAAACGAAATCAATTAAAAAAGATAACAAAACAAAAAAAACTAAAAATTGTGTATAGACTTACATATTTCCGGGGTCCCCTTTTTATTATTAAAGGAACACTACATGTGCTGCCGGTGGGACATTGAATATATCTGGTATAGCTGTTTCCGTAAAGATAGGTTTAAATAGTGGTTGGCTGACAAAAGGAAAATACAGGGTATTTTTTTGTTTCACAATTTGTATTTTATTAAGTTTGGTCAAATATTTCAATTTATTGGCTAATTTGAAACAAATTTACATTTGGATATTTATATTCCTTTATTTTAAGTCCTTGGTTTTAAATAAGAGAAAACAGAATCCTTACTGATATTTTAATTAATAGCCTTTACCCTTTTAATTTCTTTTAACTATTTTTAAATTTGTTTGTACCATTTTCACATATTATTCCAATTATTTTTTTTTTAAAACTAAACCGACAGAATATTTGACGGTAGTCTATATGATAAATAAAAACACATAAATATAATTATGACCCCTGGTTTAGATTCTTTGTACCGGGGTATGATTGAAATTGGAACATTTATAGTTTTCCTTTTTTTTTAAAACCAAGACCGCTAAAATGATTTTTTTAATTAAAAAAAATTTCGATTTAAATAGGTTTATAATTAACATTCTTTTTAAAATTTATTGTTGACTAAACCCATACAAAGATGGTTTTCCCTCTACCTCTGATATTGCATTTAATTCAAATGTCTTACCACCGTTGGTCCAGGGAATGTTGGTGAAATGTGACTTCAAAAAACAGACAAAAGCTTATTTAAGAATCTTGCATACAAAGCTTAATTCAAATAAAAAATTATAGAGTCTTCAAAAACGCGCATTGAATGATTTAAATAATCATTATCCAGTTTGTTCGTCAGATTTACAAGGGTATCGACGAAGTTGGAAATGGATTTTTTATGTAGACGGGCTTTTCCGTTGCTACGTTTCAACTGTGATGATGCCCCTAGATCCCAGCTAACTAGACAATGTTTTCTTATACTTCTATATGTGAAATAAAATTAAAAATTTAAATTGGAAAAATGATGTTAATAAACGATGCACCCAAATGTAAATTTCCCAAATAGTCCCCGCCCATGAAGTCAAACACAAAGACAGCTACACGAGATTGACATGCATATCTTTCAATTGGCGAAATTTTACTTCAGTTTAATTATCAAGAAATCAACTCACATAAGTTCAAAGAGTTATCAAAGAGAAAACATTCAGATATGTAAATTTTTTAAAAATTTATTACTGTGTGATAGGCATTTTGTGTCGAATATCCGACTGGACAGATGCATTGAGCGGTTGAAGCAAGGGCAGTTTCACATTTCCTCCATTATGACATCGCATCTGTTGACAAGGACCGCCTAAGTAAATACATTTTATTTAAAATATATAAGTCCACTCGTTAAAACATACATTCAGTTTGGGTCAGATGTTGAGCAAGATCCTTAATGATACCTTTTTTATTATAAATTTTTAAAAGGAATTACCTCCCAAAATGTCTTGTTGTTTTTCTAACAACATGGACTGTGTAGCATTTTATTCCCCGCTTGCACTGAAATTGGGAAAAATAGATTCATATAAAAAATATAAACATTAAAATTTTTTTATAAAATAATTGTTTCCAAATGTTTTTTATTATATACGTTTTATTTCCACTTGACACATAGGGTATGGATTCCTGGTACTTCCGGTTTTATGAAAAGTCCACGGACACAGTGATGATCCTTGACTATTTTCAGATGAAAACGCATGGTTTTTAGGGAAAGAGGAAGCCGTGTTCTCCACATAGGACTGCAAAGTAAACCCAATATAAATAAGCAAGTGATTTTTTCACCAAGTGATTTCCGAAAAAAAATGCAATTTAACTTGCAAGTCTTGAAAGCAAATGAAAGAATTATTTGAAAAAAACCCCTAATTACTAAATTTATATGCAAATTTTAAAGATGCTTTATTATCCATACCATTTGCTTGAACCAATTGGAGTTGTGAAAGAGGTATATGACAACTTTCTCTCCATACTCGCATTGAAGAACAGTGCCGTTTGGCATCAAGGTGAGGTTATCTTTGGTGACATCTATAATTCATAAGGTGATTTACATGAAATTTAGGTTTTCTTATTCACTTAAATATTCATTTCAAATGACCGAGGAAGGGAAAAAAACCTAAAACCAAAACCAGGTTCGGGAAATGCTGAAATGTATTGACGAGATGAAATAAAATGTGGGAAAATAAACATTTTCACGGAAATTTGGGAAAAAAATTCTAAATTTTTCTCAATTAATACATGTTTCACTGTGTTTATAAGAGTTTTTGATAAAAACTACTTCCCAATGTGACTTGTATTAGAAGAATTGTTATATTGTTACTTCCTTTATTAGCCTTTCTTTATTCAGAATCCTGGTATTAAACACGATACCCCTTTCAAACTTTAAATTTCCCCTTTTGACTTGGACCTTGTAATGTACCCCCAAACACTGCCTTTGTTATTACAGTAGAGGTCCCTTTTCTCTATCCAACAAAAACTTAATTTATAAAACTTCGTTCAGGTTTCCCATTTAAAAACAGTAAAAACTAAGGCATGTATCAGTATATTCTTGATGAAAATTGAATAGCAACATGCTTCACACTTTTTTTAAAAACATTATTTTACATTTGACGGGGGGTTTTTTTCTGACATAATCTTACTGAAAGGGAAAAAAAATAAGAGTTTTGTTATTTTTATAATTTAAAAAAATATCTTTGCAAAAATTATCCCCTTTATTCAAAGAATACAAAACACTATTTTACTGTTGAAAATAGAAATATAACAACATATTCAATTCAAGAAAAAAATTTTGGCGGGTAGACAAATTGTAAGGATACTGAAAAAAAATTTAAATTTAAAAATTGTTTGAAGAAATAATTGAATGCATTTTTCTACTACTGCTGACCACCCCCCCCCCCTTTTTTTTTTGGTAAAAAACTTTCACGGTTACAAGTAAACTTAGTAGTACTGTTGTAAAAGGACGAAATTACAAGAAATTCACCGTGTACTTTTATTGTGTTTATATGTTTTGCTTCTTTATATAGTTTGCTTTGTTTTCTTGTGAAAGCCAATAAAAAAAATTGTTTTCTGCAACAAATTATTATTAAAAACCTGTCAAGGTATTGTCAGAATGAAATGCCTGTAACATTGAACTTTTTTTGATAAAGACAGAAAAAAAACCCTTTTCCAGATTTTTGAGGGATTGATTCTTTAAAAATTATCTGTTGACCTCATTTGACTTTGCATTTGTACTCACTGTTGAAGGGGGTGAGGTACCGTCACGTTAGGAAGAATTATTTTTTTTATCAAACTTCATCTGTATTCCTGAAAAAAAAAAAAAATTTCGATATACAAAATAAGTGAAATATCGCCATTTTGGAGTAAAACAACAATAATCAATCAATCAATCAATCATGATACAGATACAAGAATATACGAAAATAATTACGTATCGAGTTCCTGGTCTGCACACAGACATGTTTGGTGCCCGATTCTGATGGTAGCACATGGAACTGTGCGATGCTTTGATTTAGGGGACTTGTTATGTGTTTAATTAATATTTTTGGGGTTTTTTCCTTTTCAATATGTCCAAAAGAGGAACTCCTTCAATAAATAGAGATAAGTTTTTTAAAAAAAAAAGCTCAAACTTTTTTTTTTTTTTGGTTGAAAGATCAAGAATTTTTTTTAAAAAAAACATTATTTGTAAATTTTAATTTTTTACCTATTCAGTGGCTGACCTCCACTGGAAAGGGTAATGGCAGTCCAAAAAACATACGATTTCTTTTTGGGAAAATTGTATCCACAAATATGGGAAGTTCCTAAAAAAAAAGGACATTCCCCGGGATTATTGTATTTCAAAACTGAGATATTTTTGAAGATAAAGCAACCTTTGTATTTCTTAATTTGTTAATTGTTTTTTTGGGATTGGCAAGGCTTTACTGGAAAAAAAAGAAAAATTTGTGCACGAAAGGGAATAAAGAAAGATTAATTAGTGATTAAAAAGAAAACAAATTTTTTTATTTTTTATTTAAATTTTTTATGTACATGGGGGTTTTTTATTTTTTTTGGCAAAGGTTTTATTTCTTTATAAATTTAAAAAAACTATAGAAGTAAATTGTCAAAATGTTTATTAATATATTTGGTATGGATATTTAAAATTAAACATTTATCATGATTTTTTGAGGTTTTCTAAA